ATTATTGTTTTGATCAAAATTAGAAGCTTGGCAAATGGTAATCGCAACGGTAATGTAAATGAAATAAGTGAACAACTCATTTATGTAATTTTGTAGTCTAATTACTACCATATGAAATTTGAACTCTCATTAATTGATGATTATCTACAGCCTTGTGAAACACAAATCATTACAAGAAGAAAAAGAGATTATTTCATTTTTACCCCTATACTTTGTCACGATTTTCAATGATCCCTAGACTACGCTTATTTTCATGCGTACCCCCGTACTATGTAAATTACTATCAATTTCAACCTTACTGTCACATTTGAAACGAAAACAGTTAAAAAAATTATATTTTGGCCCCAAATTTCAAAAGAAAGACACAAATACACCCTCTCCTACCTAAACTCACCCTCTCTCCTCTTCCTTTAATTCGTTCCTCTCTTCTTGGCCCTATAAGCGCTGCCTCAGACTCTCTCTCTGTGTACAAAGTTTCACAAAATGGTGACAATGGAGACAATCTTGGTAGCTCTAAGTCTCGTCGATTCGAAGAAAGAAAGTCTCCAAAAAGCCTTTGAAGATCTTCAATCCTACTCATCTGTTCTCTCCTCTTTCATCCTTTCATGGTCCGACCTCAATTCCCACTTCTTTTCCCTCCAATCCTTTCTCCAAACCCAGTTAACTATTCTTCAATCCCAATAAAACCCTCAATCTCAACCATCCAAAGAAGCCCTAAATCAAACCCGGCAATCGGATTCACTCATCTCAGTTTGGCCAAAGCTGAAAGCCTTCTATGAGAACATGGATGGGTTAGGCTTGAGGAACTACATAGTCGAATGAGTGAGCCATGATCAGAACTGAGCTTCCTAACGCACTTTAGTTCATTCTAGATTTGGCTGGGATGGTTTTGGATGCGATGGAATGTTTCTATGTGAAGAAATCAGAGCTGTATGATTCAAGGCAGAGATGTGGGGTTTGAATTAGACATGTAGAAGTGAGAATCTCTCTCTCTATATATAGATATCATGTATGTATGTGTGTGTATAACAGAGGTATGATCAAAGGTTAGAGAGAGAGAGAGAGAGTTTAGCTGTGTGTGAGCTAGTTTTTTAGTGAGAGAGAGTCCCAATCCTAACGATTTCTGTATGTGGGGGATTGTTCTTCACCGCCATCGCTGAACTCCATTACTGGCGAAAGAATGACGAAAGAATGAAGTAGGAAGTGAGGTGAAGAGAATGGCTCGAAGAAAAGTAAAAAATGAGAAGAAAAGTCTTATAACGAGATGCGTGAAATGTGATACGAAAACTAGACCGCGAGTTGAATCCAACGACGTAAAAATGAGATGAAACGGAGTTATGACGAAGGAGATAGAAGGGCTTGAAGTGGTGGTTGGTGATGGTGGTGGTTTGTTAGTAAAGGGATGGGTATGCATCTTTCTTTTGAAATTTGGGGTTAAAATATAAATTTTTTTAACTTTTTCCATTTCAAATGTAACGACAGGGGCAAAATTGATAGTAATTTAAATAGTATGGGGGTACGTATGAAAATAAGAGTAGTTTGGGGGGTCATTGAAAATAGTGACAAAGTATAGGGGTAAAAATGAAATAATCTCTTTTTCTTCTTGTAATGATTTGTGTTTCACAAGGCTGTAGATAATCATCAATTAATGAGAGTTCAAATTTCATATGGTAGTAATTAGACTACAAAATTACATAAATGAGTTGTTCACTTATTTCATTTATATTACTGTTGCGATTACCATTTGCTAAGCTTCTAATTTTGATCAAAACAATAATGTGGCCTACTGTTTTGATAACATTTTAACAGCTAAGAGTTTTAATTAAAAATATATGATTTAATTTGTTAAAAAAATCTATACTTTTTAATTATATTGAATGAATTTTCTTTATTATGAGATGAGATTTGGAAAAGAGAAAAATATTAGGGGGAGAGATTTTAGGAACTTGTAATTCAAAATTTTAGGTGGTTTTTTTTTGTTATTTTTAATCTATAATTATTTTGTTAGCCAATAAAATTATTTTTAAATATTTTTAAAATCACAAAAATTAGCAATTGTGTAATAAGATTTTGGAGTTCTCACAAACCTTCTCACTACAAATCCCCTTTTCCTTATATAATATACTAGTATATCACCCGTGCTGTGCACGGGATAAAATAATATATTATTTAATAAAAATATGATAATTATATTTAATTCTTTTATATTATGTAAAATAAAAGTTAAATGGAAGGTAGCCAATCGAGATTTTCTTAATTGTTTAAAATTAAGAAAATCAAAAAAATTAGTATACAATATTGATCATAAGGTTTCTCATTAAAAATCTCATTTTCCTTATATAAATGGAAGTATAAAATTTATTTTATGTAAGTGAAACAATTCACATTTTTCATCTTTTCTCGATGTGAGATTATAAAATAAATGTTAAAT